TGTAATCATTAGATATTGCATTCAGTTTCTTATTGAAACATTTGACTTACACTTTATAGAAAATAATGTTTTTATTACCACCCTTTTTTACATGAAATGTTAAGTTCGGTAATATCTTTACAAACAATGCTTTTTGGAACTTACAAAATTGATAAATCTTAATTCGATCATCATATTTATGATATAAAACCATAAAAAATGTGTTACAGGATCTTTTAAGATTTGTAGATATGTTCAATGTAAATTAATTTGATTTAAGAAAAGAAAACTCTTGTACAATACATGCATCGAGCTTAAAGTGGTATATTTAAAGTTTAATTTCAAGCAAACCATTTACTTAACTAAAAAGCACGGGATTACGAAATAATAAAAAAACAAGAGGGTTTTCTTTGTTTTGTCTTTTGGTAAATGATGAGGATTTTATCATATCTCATGTATCAAGTATAACGCTCTTATTTTTTCAGAGCTTTTGATAGCACTGCTAGCGAAGATATAACTGTTACAATAGCAGTAACTGATGTAAATGATGAAGCACCTGCTATTACATCCCCTACCTCTGTTACTTTGTTAACAAATACAGCTAAAGGTAAGTAAAACATTTTGTAATAAATGGTACATAGACAAAAACCTTTATAAGTATGTACATGTATAATAATAAGTATGTAATAAATATATAAAGAAGAACAAAACAATATTCATCATAAAATTGATCACACAACATTAAAATCACTCAGAACTTTATCAACATGTTTTCATGAAAGATCTCATAAGAATATCCGAACGTTTCATTTGTCTTTTTGTCAATATTTGGAATACTTACGTTTTAAAAATGTACCGATTGTAGGCCACCAATCCATTCTAAAGTAAAACGAATCAGTACCCAATTTAAAATAATTTTCGCCTTTATAAAGAATTTTTACTTTGAAGATTGAAAAACAAATTCACAGATGCGAGCGGTCATAATGCCACAAAATATTTTATGGTGAACAAGTCATAAAATCCTTTCAATTTCAATACGGCGAGTTTCCGACAACAGTTCGCCGAGTTCCGTGAAACTACGGGAAAATGTCACGTGATCTTATTTCAGTTTTGGTAGATAAGAGCATAGTTCCTCCAGATCTGTATAAGGATTTCCATCCTCTCAAAAAAAATCCCCATGTCTTTCATGGAGCGGGTAACCACTGCACCGATCGGTATGCAAATTAGCAGGCATTGGATAATAGTCGCCGTCCAATTACCTTTTACGTAAATTTAGTTTATATAATTCTATATACAATGTAATTGTATAAGACATGAAAAATATCTTACAAATATATCTTATCTATAATTCATTTTTTGTCTTTATTGTTGACTAGCTTTTAAAAAAGAAACGTTATATCCATTGTTTGGCTGATTGTTCCCTCTGACGTTCTGGCAGATTGACAGTTTTACAATGAATAATATTCACTTATAAGAAAAATTTTGTTTTTATATCGTACAGTATATTTTCAGACACTGTGGTGTACACTGTAACGTCAACCGACGCTGACACTGTTGGAACGGTAACTTACTCTATAACTAGTAAGTCTTAACCTTTTCCCTTATATAAGCGTGTTTCGACGGCTTTTTGCCCCCCCCCCCTTTTTGAGGCCTCAAACAGTGAAAAAATGCCCTATTTAGGCCCCAAACACTGTCTTTCGTTTGAGAAATGTTGTTAAAAAAAGTGACCATTTTTTCGGCGCCGTCCCCCATCCAAATATTACATCAGGGGGTTGCCAGAAGGGGGATGTGCCCCCTTCTGTTTGTGGGGTTTGAAGGGGGGCGGAGTCCCCCTCATCGCCAAGAAAATTTTGGACTTGTGAGAGGCTTAAAATGACCCCAGGTCGATCATAAGGTAACGTGTAACCGACGCTGAAAAGCCTTTGACTCTATCTCAATCCCTTGAGAAGTTGCATCACTTTGAAATAAATTTTGATGGCAAAAATCGAGGCAAAAAAGTGATTTTTGGCAATTTTGAGATGTCCCCTCGTTGCCATGGTAACAGGAAATTTAAGACTGAGCATGTCGTTACAAAGGCAATGGTCCAGTCAACATTTGTGCCAAGTTTGATTAGTATTGAAGCATTTTTCATAGTTTCATAGCAGTTTGAACTTGTAACAGGAGGCTTTTCAGTGAAAATGGCCATTTTTCACAATATGCTCATGGGGGAAAGGGTTAATGTACCCTTAAGCAATTATGAATGGCCCAATAACTGTATTTTTTTCGCACGACAACGAATTCTGACTGATTTGATTTATGCTGTGTAAATGCATTCCTTTTGGCTGTTTAGTCAAGCATATACAATTCAACATCATCACAAACTTTAAGGCTTATATTTGTTGTAAGTGATTAATTTTCTAGTAATTTAATACATTAGACATGGCACATATGAATACGATTAGATGTGTAATTTTATAATTTTTAACAATATTTATCACTTAAAACTTGTCTTGATATATTAGTGTTACCTTTATCTAAATGTGTTTGTTATTTGATTACTTATTATATAGCATTCTGGACATTTTGAAAACAAGTAGATCATTTGCCTTGAATAATTGATCATGATTCATATGAACTTTTGAAATGAAGTTTACATGCATATAACACCATCATTGACTTACAAACAAATCTTAAGCACGTGAAGTCCTTAAATTGATTTGTATTATTACACTATACCTTAAACAATATGTATCTATGAATTAATATTTACATTGTAATGAATGTCATTTGGTTATTTTGCGAGTATAGGTGGGAGCGACAACGGTATCTTCAGTATTAACTCTACAACAGGACAGATCACGCTTAATACTACACTGAACATTGACGATGTTAAACATGATCTTGATATTCAAGCCAGCGATGGTATCCAAACCATTACACAGAAAGTTAGATTTTACCTGAGCAATGGTAAGTGTATCCTTTTTTCCCCTATAAAAAGAAATAATATATAAATTTTTAAAGGACTCCGACAGTGGGAAATAGAAATTATCAAAGCTGGTTTGGTTGATCATTTTTACAAAGTGGTAAGAATAATCTACCTTTACGTCCTTTTATTCAAAATGATGAGTATTTTTAGGGTAAAGAAAGATTTTGTTTTTCATAATGTGAATATATGGATATATGCATTTATTATCAAAAAACAGTTATTTGTAAATACATTTGTATAGTAATTTTTACAAATAAGTACCATTCTCTGTTTCTCCTTTCCCTAGTTTTCTGGCAAACACCGACAGATGGCCAGATGGATAACATCCCTAAAAACACCACGCGGAATACATTGTTGTTAACGATGAATGCTGATAACGCAGTTATCTATTCGTTTGAGGTTGACCCTGATACTGAGGCACATAAATTCCGTATAACGTCTAATGAATTATCTCTAGAAGAAGAATTGGATTATGAAACAACGAAATCATACGCATTTACCTTAAGGTAAGATCATTTCTTCTATTCCTGACACATCAATAAATAACATTCGATAGGCTTCATAAATATGTTTCATTACTAGAAATACTTGTTTACACCTTTTTATGGCTAAGAAGATATGTGTTGATAGTCCACATTGATCGATAAAAACATTTATGCATATGCGAAGATTGGAATATCACTATCCACAGAATGTTTGTATCTTTTAAAATATAAATCAGTCCGATGTTACAGTATTGAATGATTCAAAGAAATTGTTCCAAATTTTGCTCTATTTCATCATTAGTTTTTCGTTATTTCACCAATTTCAGGAATAATTGCAGTAGGAGATAAAATACTGAAATTATTTGCTGGTTTATTAATAGCACGGTCAATAATGTACAAAATTTCGTGTCAAAATTCACTAAGAGAAACGAAAGTGAAATGATTACAATTTCTGGTACATCACAGGATGTGTATGCATATATGTTGTTATCATCTCCTAGTATCTGCATGTCTTTGCGTTGTAACAATCTCCTAATATGTGTATGTTTATGTGTTGTTATCATCTCTTAGTATATATATGCCTATATGTTGTTATCATCTCCAATATATGTGTTGTTATCATCTCCTAGTATGTCTATGTGATGTAATCATCGTCTATTATGTGTATGCTTAAATGTTGTTTTCATCTCCTAGTATATATATGCCTACATGTTGTTATCATCTCCAAGATATGTGTTGTTATCACCTCCTAGTATGTGTAAGCTATTATCTTAAAGTTATCTCTTAGTATGTGTATGTCTATGTTTTGTTATCATTAAGAAATCAATACTTGATTTAAAGAGATAATGCTAGACAAATGTCAAGTCTTCACTTATATCGGTGGAGTATAAGCTTGTATTACCAACATTATTATCAACAAACCATTATCATTTGGTAAATAGATTATTTATAGAAGAAGGTATTCATGCATCATTTTGACACTATAGGGCAACTGGAACTCAGGGTACGACAGAGATAGCTTATATCATCAATGTGATAGATGTTAACGTTGTAAGTCCCGAGTTTGCTGACACAACTGTTCCACTTGATCTTACAAAGGACACGGAAAGAGGTAAAATATAGCAGATTTGTTATCATCGTGTGTGTTAGGATCATAACTAAACAATATGTATAATCTTTATTTTCACAGTATTGCATTCATTGATTGGCCTTGCCTGTGCATTTTTACAAGTTGCATGTCACCTTGGGTTACTCTCCTGCGCATCGGTCGAATATTCCACTATCGCTCACTGTCTGAAGTAACGGGAGTGTATTCAGTAAGCTGCGAAGGGAGCGTAATATAAATATAATAAAACTTCTTTTATGGATCAATAATGTAAATATATACCTTATAGCTTATCCTAAACCTGGACCTAAAGGATTTACATGGTTCATGGAAGATCGACTTAATTGGGTTTCTTTACTAAGTAACGAAGATTTTCAAATTTCATCATCTGGATTGGAAACAAATTTAACAATCTCAAATGTATCTCTCGAACATTATGGAAAATATCGTGTAACTACTGTTAACAGAATTGGTTCATATGATCAGATATTGTTCCTCTCAGAGAATGGTATTATCAATTGTTATTCGGTGTTCGTTTGTTTTCATTTGTTTAGTTGAAATGCTAAGAAATAAAAACTATTATAGACTTAAACGACATTTAACTTTATCAAACATACCTAATTTAACATTTTGTTATAACTTAGCTTTGTAAGTGGTAATTTATTTTGTAACCATTGTTTTGTTTTAAAATTGACAATTTCTGGATCTAAACACACTGCATTTTACAAACACTTTAATTTCCATTTTATACATTTTATTCCGAACATGAATCAATTTAAACATTAGTTTTTGTAAGCTTTATAATTGCTTATTTATGTAGGTGCTTATCTTTTTACCTAGGTTTTAGATCTGACACGTGCAAGTGTATTACGTGCAATAAAGAGAAATGCTCTTTTACAATGACAATAGTTCTCGGGATAGTATGTGTCGTTCTGATTGGCTATGGTACTGGTGTATCCATATTGTACAAAAGAAATATCAATAAGAAAGGTAAATATTATAATTTAATGTTGTATTCAGCTTCTTTAAGTAAGGCCTTATAATTAATTGTTCAAAATTCCTGAATGTGACGAATTCCTTGGCTCGTTCCTCTGATGTAAATTCCTTAAAGTTAATTGGGATAATGATACATCTGTAACGCATTGGAAATTAACGTTGATAGTTTGTTGTATTAGACATAACATTAAACCACAAATGATTTATACATGGAAGTCTATCAACATTTTAATTAAAGCAACATGTTATAAGAAAATCTAAATTACACATTTCTATTGTTTTAATCAATATTTGAAATATTTATGGAAAATGTGCCATTTGTACACCTATCCACTTTAAACTGTTGTACTCAAATTACAAAACCAAAACAATTTTATAACAAAATACAAGTAAAATTTCCTATATCAGGTACAAGATCAAATTCCAGATATGGAGCCAAAACGTAAGTTTTGCACATATTTTTTAATGATTAATTTATCCATTTGACAGTAGTCTTTTCCATCCTTTTTACTATTTCTAATTTTTCTTCTCCCATTATTGAGTATACAAACAAAAGTATTTTATTGCATTAAATACATGTTAACAAATATATTACACAAATAATAAGTATATGTCAAAATGCAAATGAGTTGGGCAACAAGTTCTTAAAACATAAGATTAAGCCCTTCCCAGGCAACAAAGAATGTATCCTATACGAACAATCTGTAGCGAAGGGTAAAGGACATTAATTTCAGATACTCTTGTTCACAATTTTCAAATAAATCCCATGAATCATATATATTTATATATATTTAAAAATATTTTATTTATATTGTTTGAGATCAAATAACAGACTGTAAAAGCAATTATGTTTCTCTATGTTTTATACATTTTGTTTTGTTTAAGTAGAAATGACAATAAAGGAAATACTACTGATGTAACAGGGGAACAAGATTATGAAAATAATGCTGCAGAAGCTGACGAGGACACTTCTAAACAATATACTGAGCTGACACATTATTCTAACGATACTGCCACATATGAACCGTTACGTGTTTAGATAAGATAGATGTAGCTTCTTTTAATCATTTGTCAAAATCTATGTATGAAAGTGTTATGAAAACTGTTTGGGCTGAAGGGTATTTTAGCATACAAAGTATAATATTTTATACATATAATGAACGAAGTATAAAAAAATATAACACCGTGCTGTATTTAAGGCTTGAGAGAGGGGCATATTACCTTTCAGACACTTAAAATAAAATCCCAACATATCACAGAGGTCATGAAAATGCCCAACACAAAAATGTAATAAATTTGTAGTTCTCCAATGGCCCACTAGATTTTCATGATATTTTTGTTGATAACCTGCTTTAAAATATGAGCGTCATATTGATTAAAACTAAATTTATCTCATGAAATATGTTTGCATATTTTTCTATATTTTACTTTTTATTTAAATATTATCGTCTTTGTTTATATCAATGGGATGATTTTACGCGACATTATATGAGATGATTCCCGACATTCTCAAAGTTGATGTGTATATTATTATCATGTTTTGATACAAAATATTCAGAGAAATATAAAATTGTATTTTTTTCTCTGAGTTGAATATTACATCATGCAGGCACTTGTGTCTATCAAACAAGAGTGACCCTTTAAAACATTGAAAATATATCAAAGAAAAAAAAAACACACTACATAATAGCAGAGTGTTTTACAATTTTGGTATTAATTATTTTTTTACAGTTAAAATATGAAAATAAATGGGCAATTCTGTTAACTAGATTTGATTCAAGCACAAGTGGCTATGCTAGAATGATACGAAAAGCTTTGTAAGATTGCATTATGATTTTTGCAGGCATATAAAGTGTAACAGTCTTTTTCAACATACATATTGTCGTCAATCAATCAAACTTTCAAAATTGGCCATAATGCAAAATTGACATAAAGGTTGAGAGGCGTCCTTTAAAAAAGGCGATGGGTGCATTGATGGGTGAATTGATAAAGAATGCAATCCAAACATATTTTTAATAATGTAATAAGTTAACTTGTTTTTTCAATGTATCATATATAGTGTAATTTATACTTTCCCTTTGAAGTTGTTAATCTGGGCGACATGATCTTAAATAATCATAACATGCTCCTATTCATTGACCCAGTTTTATATGAGAATGATTGATCAGTCTTTTAATACGACTTACAATTACAAATGACCATAGGAAAGATTACACTCGTTCAAAGCAACCACTTAACATATATATCGTACTTGTCAAGCTTTGCATTTTAACAAATTAATGCCTTTCTAATACTTCCATATGATAACTTCGAGAGGTTGCAAAATAGCAAAAAAGGTTTTAAAAAAGTTTAAAGAAAAAGCATACAATTTCCGTACCAACACGTGTACGACTTAATATCGTCAGCACTGTAAATATTTTCCAATTTAAAAATGTCCATTTAAGAAGAGAATTCAATTTCATTTCAATTGAAATGTTGCCTATGGCATAGTCTATGATCTGGAATTAAATTGGAAAATCGCGTGTCTTTAGATAGTATGATAAGTAAATTCGTCAATATTGTTTCCAAACAAAATGTTACATCCATAACACAGAATTGAAGAGTTCCATTTTGAATGGGTTAATCACACTTTATGTAATAACGGAAAAATATAAATTTCCATTTCTGCTTATTATAAATGTTACAAAATATTAGAATGATGTGAGCACTTCATAAGATATAAAGATATGAAGCAACACAGATGTTCTGATTTTTTTTGCAGTTTTAAAAATACCTTTTCCGTTAATCACGGTTTGTTTTGATTCGGGATTATAGCCTAGTACATTGTATACATATTAAGCAAATGGATGTAGAATCTTGTGTTCTCATGAACATACAAAATGACATAGTCTATTTTATTTGACTCTAGGTATCTTCCCGTTCCCAGAATTTTATGACAGACAATGCTATATTACTGTCATTTAAGTTGTGTATAAATGCTCATCTGATATGTCCAAAATATAGTGTTTATGTACATTATTCAGGAGGACATCGACACGGACAGACATAATCATTATATCTATATATTCGCCAGCTTCTTTACTTCTTATCACTCATATTCTTTTATTGTCAATTAAATTGATTAAATATATTGTAGCACACGCATAGTAATTGTACAAACACGTATTAATATATCACGATGAAATTGAAATGTTGGTACAGATAATCACGATATATGAATCAGTCAAAAAAAAAGGTTACAGTGCACATATCAAGCAAATTTTTTTGTATTTGTTCATCACAAATTATAGACTGTTTGAAAATATTTCTTATAAGTGAGACTTTAAGCTTGTTACATCTCTACAACATCATTGTCATTTTTGATATTCAGAAAGATGGCATTAAGAAACATTTCGATTTGCTCTAAGATGGATGCGAACGTCTCTAATTACAACAATAGCATAATTTATCTTATATCTTTTAAAGTATATTTTATATCATTAATTTAAAATGTTAGGAATTCTCTTCTTGGTTTGAAGTGAATGCATTTCAATATAAGTACAAGAAAAGCATTGATGCAAAGCATCAAAGGGCGTCCAAGCAAGAAATGCAGCAAGTGAATATGAACTAGTAGACATTTGATGACAAGATATTCTTATAAACTTTTAATGGTTAATTGGTTTTTACCAGAATTGTTTATCACTTATGAATGAGCGGACGAAAAACATTGTTCATTATTAACTTCGGTAGGCATGCTAGAGATTAGATTATAACTTGTTTTTTTTTCACAGGAACTTGAAATTTTATCAATATTAACGAAAATATCCAAAATATACAGGTCAATGATATTCAAAATGTACTTCCCCATATGGTATAAATCTATTTATACTATATAAGGGGTATTTTTGGATATAATCATTAATATTGGTGATTTGATAGAATTTCAAGTTCATGTGGTATTGTCTTTGGAACATACAAAATAGTAGTCAAAATCAATAGTTCTTTTACATTTTTGAAATAATAAAATACATATATAATATTATATTATAATAATTTTTTTTTTGGTCATAAATGTAATATCGTGATTATTTATAGCAACGGATATATACAATCATTTAATATCCATTTGTGTAAGGCATGATCAACACCACACTTGTGTATTGTCCCTTATTATGTTATCGCTATTAGCGAAGACCCCCTCTTAAGGTATCTGTTCACACTTAGTAACAATATGACACTGGTTATATTACTATGTTGATCATGTTGAGCATAATTGTTTTATTATACAATAATTGTAATATATAGTTTAATATTTTCTTACATATTTTATGAATATTGTTTTCTTTTTCTTTTTTTTTGTGTGTTTTATGTGCTATTTCAATACTGAGTTTTTACGTTTACTATTTTTTTTATTAAAATTGTAAAATAAATTGTAAGAATTCATTTGTCATATTGACCGACGATTAGAAGTCAAAAATTAACTGGAAAAAGTCAGTAAATTATGGTTAATCTCTCAATTTATTATATTGTTTATTCTTAAACTATGTACATGTACATTTGTATTTTTCTTTATCATTTTTTAAATTTTAAATATCAATCAATTGAATAATTCGTAAAATTTAATTTGTTACTTAGAATAATTCCTCAGCATCTTTACTAGACACGAATTACAAATTAAATAAAATGTTTCAAAGTTGATGGTGTCATATAAATACCATAAAAATGTACCACTTTACTCAATTATTGTACATATTTATTGTTTTTATCTCATATAAATAAAATAAAACATGCTATTGTTGTTGGTGTTTTTTTCCGAATGGTATGTTTATGTATAATAATAATCAATTTTGAGAGTTTGATCTATGTTTATTAATTATTGTAACCAAACTTAGTGACAAACATTCATTTAAAAAAAAACAACATAACTTATTTATCTGTAACGATATCAAACATCTACTCCAAAACCGGGAGATACCGGACAATAAACGTGTGGTACTATTCCCCGGTCTATAGCCTGTCAAAATAGACCGGGAGAGACCGGGAATTTTACAGATAGGAGACCGGCGAATAGTACATACCTCTATAAATAGATTTTCGAACTTTTACAATGTTAAGGTCATTATTCTATTTATAGCTTACGGATACATGTACAACAATAACAAACCATAATAACCCACTGTGTACTACAAAATGATTAATAAAAAAACCCGAAGAGCGCGATTAATTGACGGAAAAGATTATTTCATTTGAATATGTTTGCATTGCGAAATTCTCCAGTTGCTATTCATTGTTCGCGACATTTCATTTTGATAATCAAAAACCCTCATACCAATCGGAATGATCGGCTATTATGACCGACGAAAGACCCGAAAAGTTGCCGTCGCCCTTTCACAAAATCTGATTTCATTCCATAAGGGCGTCGCGCTTCCCAAAAATGTATATCAAATAAAATAAAAGAATAATCTGACAGTTAACTTGATGATACATTGAATATTAACTAACATTTAGTTATACAAGTATACCCATTGCGATTATTTGATTTGAAAAAAATATTTGATTATTTTAATTAGTTGATGGAATACTATTTATGTCTTGTTGCTTTTAAGATATTCTTGAAATAATAAAAAAAATGAAATGAGAGCTTCTACTTTTACGGACGAATATGTGTATTTTTATTTCTTGCGATATCTGTATTGCTATTCTTTTAATATTTCAGATGATTTAATCCTGTATATTTATAACAATTATTATTTAATGTGCGGCTTAGATGTATGTTCGTTGAATACAAGTATCAGTCTAATTTTAGACTGGGAAAATTCAATTCAGCCAGTGAATATGATACTACACCTAGTGAATATGATTTTATAAAAAGTTTTGTTGACTATTGTTTGGAGCAATGAGATTGCAGTTATATTTAGATAATATAATAAATAGCTATTATATCATTGTGAATATAATCTGACCAACAGAAAGACCAGAAATAAAAAAGAAATATATTTATAAATGTTGAGAAAATTAAAGGAGAATATTCTTCCTTTTATTTGATATTATTTGACAGTAAAGATAAGCTATGAAGAGGAAGTATCAAATGTATGTAGACATTATCTACACAATAATGCTATGGTTATGTTATGGTTATTCTTATTATTCCACTGATAAAATGATCATACTGTAAGTTTAACGTGACTATTTATTTATTTCTGGGGTAAATCTTTAACTAGACACCGCTGTCATATAAAACGGACGCAACAGTCTATCAAATTGTCACTTTTGCATTTAATCTAAATGCTTGATAATTTGTTAATGGTGAAACACTATGACGCTCAACATAAATATCTTAAGTGCGGATAATAATATTATTTTTTCGAGCTTTGCAATCTTTCTTTGAAAACAAATACAATTTAAGGGAAAGAACGTAATATTTCACTAAACATCGTGACTATTTTTAAATGACACCATATAAAAGACACAGGCATGTCGATATATATTCTTTAAATGGCTTTGCAAATGTTACACAAGATGAACATTTATTATGTATTCTTTAATTTTAAGTGCTAGTTGCGTAAAGTAAATGTTCTTTATGCCTCACATAATCATTTTTTATATTATAATCAGCAAAGTATTCACCATAAATTTTCTTAATATTTTTCTATTTTGTATAGCATTTTTAACGTTTCAGTAAGTCGTTTTATTACTTCCTGTAGCGATATATACATGTTTACTCTAGAAGGCCTTAAACTATACATAAAAGAAACTTGTCTAGTAATTCTGCTTCAACGCCAAATGTTTTTCTTTTAAAAATTGTTGTCTTAGTTTATAAAAAAGTTTACATATGCTTTACAAATTAGTAAAGACCTCTGATTCATGAATAATCGTAATTTTTGTCTAATGGTTGCCCCTTTATACTGACGTGACCCTTTCCATTCTCGTTAAAATGTAAGCGCTAAAAATAATTATGTTTTGTAAAAATATAAATATTTATTAATCAGTTCAAGCAAAACACGTTTATTATATTGGTGAAGATAATCATCAAATCAATATATTATTTTAGAAAACAAAACCTGAAAATTAAATTTTACCAGATTTGCATGCACGCGCACACACACACACGCACGCACGCACGTACGTACGTACAACAACAACAACAACAACAACAACAACAACAAAACAATAAGCTTAATAAAGTGTTTTTTTAAGTACCAATAGCCGGATTATGTATTTTCTATGTAAAATAGTTTTGAAAAATATATATCACTGTAAAGATTGACAGCGTGATAAAATTCTTGCAGAAAATCGAAGAATGATCTCATTCTATGTATGTGTAATTATAAACATTACATTTGAATTATAATCCACATTTTTCGTGCAGTTCAACATAAATGCTCTATATTTCAAGGTATGATAAGGAATAATGAACATAAAGAGGTAATACTTTCATCATTACACACAAGCAACTTCATAAATCAGGCGCTAAACGTGTAAAATTTGATAACAAGTCAAGTCAAATAATTTATGGGCAAAAACATATACATGTTCATCGCCAAGTAACATATTGGCGGTACAATACAAGTACAGAAAAGTAAGATACATGCATGATAAATTATACATATACATTATTATTTTTCAGCGTTCATTAATTCAAACAAATGTATTAAGTAGATTCAATTCTTAATTACTTTGCTGAATAAACAAATGTTGCTAAGTTAACAATTACATTTTTGTTCGTACATTTCATTATGGATATGAATTTATTTAAATTAGGCCATGAACAATAATATCTAGGTAAACATGTTTTCCTTAAGTCGTTGTATTATGGACATACTAATAAGAAGTGATATTCAGTTTCAATTTGTTTCATATTGCATTTTGTGCAGAGGCGTTGGTTTCTTTCAATATTTCTATGTCTACCCTCTTCAATAGCTAATTTGTGCGAAGAGAATTATAGTTCTTTCACTTCTCAAAACAAACAAAAACCCTTTAAATATCTTCCGTGATGGATTATATGCAGTTCTCCTTTATGCTCATCGAGAGAAACCCCTGTGTGATTGATGGCCTTTGGCACAATATGCACTTAAAAATACGAATTGCTCAGCAATATTCCCGAGTGTCCGTATATGACGCTACGAAATACCAGTTTAGCCTTGGTTAAAAATGTCTTGCGGTCATTAAATATTACCAAAAGACTTATTCTGAAAACCTTCTTTGAAGAGTTACGCACTCTTTTAACGTAAGTTTAAGAAAAAACTTACGAACGTTTTGTGAAACACACTTACGATTTACGTAAGTTTAAACGTAAGCGAAATGTTACGATAATTCTTACGGAAAAACTTACGCAATGTAAGTAAAACGCTGCCCTGGGAAATTTACGGATGTATTTCAATATAGTAGGAAAGCACTCGCGCTGTTTAAGGGAGAAACTGTATAAAAGGCCGGATAGCTCATTCGGTACATCCGCGGTATTGTATTCGAGGGTCCTAGGGTCGAGTCCCGATCAGGCTGCACATGTTTTTTTTGTTTTGTTGCTTTCTGCAATCCTTTCTGTCATTATTTCATGTACATCCCCTTGACTGCACAGAACAAAATAATATAAAAAAATAGAGAGTGGCATCGGTGGGTCACGCACAGGTGACAGTGTCATTAAATGCCATATTTAAGGCGATTGTACGCTAAATATGGGGCGACAAAATGATTTCTTATTGTCACGGTTCAGAACTGTTCACTATTTAGGGAAGATGATGTGTAAACGGCCGGATAGCTCAGGTGGTAGAGCCGCGGCACGGTAAATTTGGCAATTTAGCTCAATTTCACGCATATATTCTGAAGAAAATAACTACTGTCAGAATATCTAAATACATGCACCGAAATAATTGTTCTATGCTGAAGATTTATACCAATTTTCAAAGCGCTTAGTTTTTAAACCGAGTTACAGGCAAGTTTTTTTTAAAAAAAAAAACGACCAAAAAAAACAACATGTATAAACTGTGGTAATATTACGTCCGTGTGATTACTAGTATTACGCGACACCGGGCCTCTACACTCGCAGGGCAAGCACTATACCACTACGTTTTTATGCTAATAAGAGATTTGCGAGGTGGTAAAAGATTTATACGATAAATAATGTGCTTTTAAATTAGAATTGTCGACACCCCTATCTGTCAATATTGATATAAACAAATAATGAAAGGAATGGCGAACACTTCAAACGGCATGTTTTGTGTTTTATTTCACGCTTAACGATTTCAAGAGAATTGACACCTACATGCATCAATGTGTATTCTGCATAAAACCAACGTTATAAAAATTACTCCGGATATGACACTGATAATTTTAATGTAGTTAAAAAATTATTTCTGTACTAGTATTATCAATAATATTTTTCCACATGAACAAGTATTATGACCGGAATATGTTTATCTAAGAAACGATAAAACAAATAGAAACGATAAAACAAAATATATTTAATTCAAGTATGTTTGGTTAAATATATAACAATGCGTGCTTTTATCACGGCTTTTCTGTCGCAGGCGTTTATACATTTTCCGAGATCTCGTTTAACATCAAAACATTTTAAAAGTTTTCATAAACCTTCAGATGCGCAAAATTGATTTCAGATAAAATTATGCGAGGGTTGTCCGGAAAGTTCGTAGACACCTGCTTCAATACGAGTATTTCGCATCAGAATTTTTGAAACTTTCTCCAATCGCTCACAAATGTGCTTTGATTGATGCTACAAAATGTCAAAACTATCCGTTCTTAAACAATGAAACTGCACGGGTTTATGTAAAGGGATGTACAGGTGTGCGGAGCACGCCATGACGTTACGTCGTGAATGTACTTACTAAAATGTGACGTCGAAATTGAAGCGCCGTTATTCTTTCTAAAATATTCACCGTTGCATCCCACACATTTCCTCTGTCTAACAACCCATTTGTCATACACCTTTGCATACTAGTCACTCTAAATGCCAGAAATAATGCGTAGTGCTGCTGTTTTTAGTTTTTAGTTCAGTGAAATTCCTTAATTTTATACCTCTGAGTTGCGACTTTATCAATGGGAACACGGCGAAATACATCGGCGCTAAATCCAGACTGTATGGTGCATGCAGCAGAGTCTCAAACCCCAATAATTGAATTTCTTGCGAAGTAGTGGCAGCCGTATGCGCAGGGGCATTGTCCTGAGGAAGTATTACATTCTCCAAATTCTCTGAAAGTGTGGGTCTTTTCTTCCGTAGAGCATGAATAAGGTCTCCCCTTAGCACATGAAAATAGCATTTTAAACATAATTGTGTCTTCAAATATGAAGTCATTACACACGTGGAGTTAATATTTATAATAAATATTAACTTATACTCACGTTTAATTAAGGTAATAAAAACCACAATTACCTTTGAGTTAGGGATGGGTACCACCAATTTTTTTGTACCGCGGTATATCGCGGTATTTCACCTGTGTACCGCGGTATGTACCACGGTATTATGAAGACACTTTTTAATGTTTAACTTATGCAAACTAAGACCAACTGCCATAAGAATGTTTAAACATTTTGATAAAACACAATACATTTTAGAAAAACAGATTAATATCTTTATTTCTTTCAACTAACATCTGTCTACCTGACTGGAAAATAATAAATAAAAGAAAGAAGAAAATAACCTTATTGTCTTGATAATATTTTCAACAAAATCTAAAACAGAAAAATGGCAATTCCCATGAGGACTCCTCTATTGTCTTAAGTTTTTAATAGCACATGGTTTCATTGGTTTGCATGACCATTGTCTAGAATAATTTGAAGGCCGGTTATGGTTATGCGGGACATTTATAGCAAGTCCTTCTTTAGGAAAATCAACTTGTCAACGTGTTTTGATTTAAGACGTGACCTCTGGGCACAAAGAATATCTCCAGCAGTAGAGAAGACTCGTTCAGATGGAACACTAGTGGCTGGAATGCACAGGTACTTCTTAACAACCCGAGCAAGAAGAGGGAACTTGTGCTCATTATCTTTCCACCACTGCAAAGGGTTCACATCCAAGGGAACTGGTGGACATTCTTTGTACTGCTGTACTTCAGCCTGAGCAAGAAGAAGAGGTGTCTTGGGTGGCTCAACTGCACAAATATAGACATCACCAAAGATTTCTCCAAATACTGATGATTTTGCACTTTTCATGCTTGTTGATATTGATTTTGTTTCAGTTTTGATCTTCTTTGAAGGTGGGCCTTGGGTGGATTCTTGTTCAGTTGGTTTACTATCTCTCTCTGTATTTTCAGGCAAACTTGGTAATTCTGGCTCATCAATTTCAGTTAGGAGGTTCTCATCTGGCTCAATTTTAATCTTACTCACTTAATTTACTGTAACTGTTTCTGATGTAAGTCTATTGAAAACCCCAGCATTGTCTTCATCTGACAAAAAAGGAAGCATTTTGAATCTTGGGTCAAGTGCTGAGCACATATTGAGAACTTGCTCACTTCCTTTGTATCGAGTTTCAAGACTTTTCTTAACCAAGGACTTCATCTCTGTCACTGCAGGGCATTCAGTATCTGTGCCTGTCAAGATGAAGTTTACAATCTGATGTTGTAAGGGCATTATTACAGAGACTGTTGGGTTGTTTTCTGAGCAGAGCATCACTGTGATATCCTTTAAGGGCTTTAGAAACATGATCATCTCCTCTGCTAGAAGCAGTTCTTCATCAGAAATGGAGACATCACTCACTTTGCCAACATCTTTTGACCTAAGGGTCGCAAACACAGCCACCTGCATCTCGAGAAATCTAGACACCATATCATATGCACTGTTCCACCTTGTGCTAACATCAATGATCAATTTATGCTGCGGAAGACCTAGAGCCTCAGCCTTTACTTGAAGGATATTATTTGCAGTGTTGCTTCTGTGAAAAAAAGCTACTATTCGACGGATCTTGGCAAGCAGGTGACTAGCTCTCTTTACTGATAAGCATTTCTGCACAGCTATGTTCAATGTGTGAGCATAACATCCAAGGTGAAGTGAACCAAACAACTCTCCAGCTTTCACCATGTTACTTGCATTATCGGTTACTAGAGTCGGCTTACCATGCCCTGTTGGTAGAGCCCATTCCTCAACTGCTGCATTTAATACTGCTGTAACATGCTCTGCTGTATGACTCTCTGGGAGTGCCCTGGTCTGCAACACAAAGTTCTTCAACTCCCAACTATCAGTGATATGGCTTGATGTAACTGTCATATAGGATTCAGTAGCACAGGACGTCCATCCATCAGTCGTCAGTGAAACCTGAAATGCATATACATTTAGTTAGAGGCATAACTTACATACAACTGACTAAATTTACTGAAAAAAAATTGTTAGACTATATGGGTTCAAAATTATCCTTTACTAAATTTAGTAAATTTGCAAGAACATGTAAAAGACGTTAATTTCATAATTAAATGCAACTTGACATTCTGTGATGGCCATCGAGTCATCAACCCTAAATTTGAGACCGTATTACAGAAAAATCATATGCATATTTTGATATAATATGAATTCTTTTTGCAGTTTTATATAAATGATACCCTTTTTTTCAAAAATCATTATTTTAAGGAAAACTGATGTCAACTTATAAGTTATGTCTTTTTAAGTCTATTATGTTAGAATATTTCATTAATTATTGTTATATTAAAAAATGACTATAAAATTATAATCTGTCACAGTCTATCACATTAATTACCTGTTCTGCATTCTTCAGATTAAGTTTCACATTTTCCTTGGCAGATTCATACATCTCGGGTATGATTCTTTCTGAAAACACCTTCCTGCCTGGGACAGTATATCTTGGGTCAAGGCAACTGATCAAGTCTTTAAACTCGGGACTTTCTACCATACTGTATGGACGGAGATCTTTCACCAAAAATCTTGCAATTTTATTTGTTATTAGTTTAGATCGATCTGAACTACTGGCATACTTTGACGCAAATAGCTTTGGTATTGTAGGTAAAGAAACAGTCTCACTTTGTTTCTGGTCCACATGAACATCAGTGGTGGTAGTTTTTGAACTTGATTTTAATGATTTAGCAGACGACAATAATGACGGATGATGTCGGCGAATGTGAGCTGATAAATTGGACGTCCCACCTCCTGAACATTTTATGACCATATCACACTTCATACATACGGCTGTATTATCAATTAATTTCTGTGTTATTTTAGACTTTTGGAGCCCAAAATGCCTCCAAATATCCGATTTCCCCTTTGGATTTTTGACCGTGGTGAATTCGTCCATGACGGTATGAGCTGTTTACAAGTTGGGCTATGTCTAAATGCTTTACGTTTTGTTATTGTCGCCACTCGTTAATACGTCAACATGTTTACTAGCCTTAGACTGAGCACTAACATGGGTGTCCCCTTTTAATGCATTTAAATGAAGAATGATATATAAAAATTATAAAAATGTCGGCGGATGAAATGTATTTACACTACATAATAAATATGAAAAACAACCGGGAAACGATCCGACCTTTCCGCGACTAATTATTCGTTAGAGTATTATACTGTGCATTTACTGCTGCTCTAAAAATAGACTTGGAATTCCACTTTAATTTAGGTTGAAAGTTGAAACACAGATTACAGGGTAAATAACGTCCGAATCTTACAAAATATTATGTAAAATTATATATATTAAAAGACCGGTATTCCTAGGGGTCGTACCGGTACGTACCGCGTCTGAACGAAACCGCGGTATACCGGTATACCGGTAATACCGCACATCCCTACTTTGAGTAGTAGTCTGCATTAATAGTGGTCCCATGGAGTATAGCGTGGGTGAGGATCATACCGTGTCTATCTTTAATAGAATAAACATGTGCTTTCCCATTGACTTCGTCACTTTGGCTTTCTTTGGTGGCGGAGAGTCTTTATGCTTCCATACGCTAGACTGCTTTTTGCTCTCGGGCTCAAAATAGTGAAACCATGATTCATCAGTTGTAATAATTCTGTCCAAAAATGCATCACCGCCCCTTTTCCCTTTTCGAAGAAATGATTTTGCTGCTATAACACGCGCCTCTTTATTATCACTAGAAAGTAACCTGGGGACCCAACGTGCACAAACACGCTCCATTCCAAAGTTTTTTTCAGTGAGAATTTTATGCACAGTTGTCTTTGAAATATCACATTGTTCAGAAATATCTCTTACAGTAAGTCGCCGGTCATCATTAATGACGTTCCTAACTAACGTTCAAGATTTCTCATTAATAATGCTTGGTCTTCCTGAACGTAAATCGTCTGATGTTTCAACTCTTCCATCGTGAAATCGCTTGTACCATTTATATACAAGAGGGCGAGAAACACTTGGCCTCTTACTGTTTGAATTAATAAATTCCATCGTCTCTCCAGGCGTTTTTCCAAGCTCCATGCAGAATTTTACTAGCACACGCTGCTCCGCCCAAACGTCCGACGTCGTCATTTCTGGCGTGTTTTCTTCCATGGTATATTGACAATATTTCTCCTCACTATTTTATTTCTAAAGCGATTACGTTCAATTCATAACAATATGACGTCAGCGTGTAACGTAACGTCATAGGGTGTTTATCATAACGTTACTCGCGATTTTATCAGGTAAAATACCCAAAGAAAGAAGGCGCATGAGACAGGTGAATATCTCTAGTTTTGACGTGCTCCGGGTACCTCTAAACAAGGTTGGCACGGAAACGATCACACGAGTGCCGGTAACAATTTCATGTTTTTTATCATAATCAAGGTATGCAATTATGATCAAGGGTGCTCACAACATAAACAAAATGTTTGAAAACAATAGAATTAACAAGAAATATCGGTTGTCTACGGATTTTCCGGACAAGCCTCGTATTGTACTATGCATAATTCCACGGGTTTATATTGTTACGGTCTAGTGGGTCGTTGACTCTTAAGTATGCCCTTTACTCTAACTGTATTTTGGTAATCAGGCTTTCAAGGTATTAATACAATCAGGTACAGAACTGATGTGATGTGTAGATCTCCAACTCACCTGATAGTAATCAGGCAACACCGTTGTAAACGGATATAAAATTTATTCAACAAGTTAATATTTCTAATAACAAACAATTGTTAAACAATCATGAATAATTTATATCAGCAAACAGCTCTCATAATAACTCAAAACAGCTCACAAATCACCTTACAATAATTTAGTACCGCCACACCTTCAAAATAATGATAAGTACTGATGAACCAAAAATCTCCGTGTTACGTGTATCAATTTTACTCCGCGGTGACAATAGTTACCAGATTTACTTCAATAAAAAGTGTAGTAAAAATCTCTAACAGTTACTTAAATGTTATTATGTAAAAGTTATATAAAATTCTAATATCGGTTCCATAAAAATATCTAAGCTCTGTATTTAACACAACTAGATATAATTCTAAAATTTTAATGAACATGACTTGTTTGTTACTTAAATTTAACATAAAGTTTAAGATTTCAGCAGACAAATTAACGTACGTCCACTACCAAGAATTTCTAAATCTGAACTTTTCTTGTGACCAAGAATCTGCTGCTTTTATACTAGGCACTGGTAGAAATGACCTAAAATGGGTAAAATACCAAGGATTGGTAGAACCGACCCTGAATTGGTAGAATGGTAGCTACCCAAAAATGGTCGATACCAAACACCGGTAGAAAATCTCTTCCAAAATCGGGTAGAAAGCTAAAAATTTAACAAGACAAAATGGCTAAATGTCCAAAGAAAAATCAAGACTCAAGAAGTTTAACATTGAATATAACGATAAATATGGTACTTCACTCTACCTCACTACGAACATAGCAACGATTAAGGTTTAATTAAGATGAGTCATCAATATTTGCAGTGAACTTAATCCCAGAATGCAACGTTAAACATGGCGTATCGAGTGTAAAGTTTACAATATTCCACAACAAAATTAAGTGATTTTAAGTGTTTTAACAACGGAATTAAATATTCAGACTTGTCTTTACTGCTGTAGTAACATCCAGTTTAAGGATGACATATTAAATGGATTTAACAAACATTACGAAACAAACACGCTATTACACAAGGAAAAACAAAGAAATATGTGGAAAGCCTCCGTAAACAACATAAACAATGGATAAAATCTGGAAAGATGAATGGCAAGCACCATTTTTTATATGCAGGCTGGCTGGTCAATAATTATTAGATCGGAATGTATATTTAATGTATGGTACAGTGCCAAATACTTCACATGTTCACGGAAATCTTGTCAAACTATGATTAAGTCTACAATAGTGAATGATAAGAAAATAACCAGAAAACCAGCAAAATATACTGGTGGTACACAACAAATGTGAAGGTAATTTATCTTTAACATGTTTAAAGTTATAACACAATTGATTTGTTTACGTTTGCGGTAACCGCACATATGTTAAAATAAATAAATACCTTTCCATAAAACTGAAAAAATCACCTAAGTGTCACATAATACCGGGGTATTACACTACCCCCACGGACATGTGGCTAAACTCCTGTTGCCACACATAATATATGTAACATCAAAGTTACACTCCCAAATGTCTTAAAGTTTGTTTATAACAAAAATTCTACAGTGTCATGTAACGACACATAACTGTTAACGTAAAACACACTTTGAAATCATATCAAAGTTCATGATTAGTTCACTTAAAAGAGTCTTATCACTTTTCAATACTGTTCAATGGAATTTTCGTACAAATTTAAAGTAAGAATAACACCAGTTTATCGACATGTTTTAGCACTTTAAATAATTATCAAATATCACTATATTTTAAAACTTTATGTGAAGGAATGTCCTATTTATGTTTCTTTTTATCTATATTTCAATTGTTGAATTAAAATGTTCATATATATTTGGTAGAACCGGTTGAAAAAAAACCCATAAAATTTCCTACCCGTTCTGTGTCTTCCTACCATCGACAGACACAGAACGGACCCGTCTAAACATTATTACAGGCGAAATATAAAATTTGACTTATACGTCGTTAAAAAGATTAATTCCTCTAACTTTCTTGACAACACGTTTCATGTTTTCTTTTTTAGCAGACGTGTTATGTTTCCTGTTGTTATGGGACCTAGACCTTGCTGGTAGAGAAGGTGGCCTCTTGTCTGTATTGTTACTTGTTTTTGGATGTTTACATGTCTGTCTTGTTGGATTGTCGTTGACGGTAGGTATTTTCTCTTTCCCTCCCCCTCTTCCATTTTAACACCCCCCACCTTTTAACCCGTACAGCCCTTTTCCCTTTAATTCCCTTATTGGCCTGTTTTTGTTTATATTATTTCACATTACATGTCCCGCTCCTTTTGCCCTTGTGTCTACTCTAGGTATTTGTTTGGTGCCTTCTGGGTGTCCTGCTTGGGTGTGTCCGGGGGCGGCGTCCTGTGAACGTTGCCTTTGCCTTGTTGATCTTTAGTCTTGTTATTCTATCATAGTTGCTACGTCTGACACATGTTCTCTCGAGAGACGCAAATGCACAATGGATGTTCCTCAACTCCTCTAATACCGACCTCAAATTCCTGTTGACTGCATGGTGTTCTCTCCCATTGGAGTGGATAGCCATTAAGATGTTATTCAGTTTCTCATCAGATGGAGGAGTCTTGACTGTCTGGGATGAAGTTGAACAAAGATGTGGTGGGCTTTTCGTTCTGTGGGCTCGAGATCTTTGAAAAGAGGATCAGACGTATAGGACCCATCTAACAAGTCGCTAAGAACATAGACAGCTTCATCCTGGAGAGGTGTATTCTTCGCTGATGACACAGTTACACGGTGATCAGGTGTTGAGTTTTGCGGGAATGTTGCAGGTTCAATAGCAGCTGGTGCTTGTGTCAGATTTGGGAAAGTAGGCAACAAGGTTGTACTTTTGACGAAAGAAGGC